GTTAGTTGATATGGTTGATGTTATTTTTGCTGATGTTGCTCAACCAAATCAGCTCAATTATTGGTCTTAATGCTAAATATTTCTTGAAAAAAGGTGGTTTAATCATTGAATCAATTAAAGCTAACTGTATTGATTCTACTGCTCCATCTGATGTTGTTTTTGCTAACGAAGTTGACGAATTAAGAAAACTTGGATTTAAACCACTTGAACAAGTTTCACTTGAACCATTTGAAAGAAATCATGCTACTGTCATTGCTAGATATGATAATATTAAGAAATGATTGATTGAAATTTTTCAAATAGGTCTTTTTTTATTTGTTTGCTTTAATTTTTTTGTTTGAAAAGAATGAATATAAGAAATAAATGACGGAGAAAAAAAATGTAATAAAAACAATTAAATCTATATCAATTAATAATCACAATACGAGCATTTTGATTGATTGATGTACTATCAAAAAGTGGAGAATAATTTAATGAACATTCTTTCAAAGGAATGTCATTGAGATTAGGGATTGTAAATTTAGAGGAGAAGATAAAGAGTTTTTGAAGTGAAAGTGGAAGAGTTAATTCAAATTTTAACGAATTGGTATTATACACTGAAATAGAGAGAATAGATGAATATTGAGAAAGGTCTAGTCTTCCTTTAAGCATTACTGAAAAGAGTTCAAGAATCTGGAGATTAAGAGGAAGAGTGATTGAGTTAAATGGAAGTTGTTTGAGATTAAGATAATGAAGATTTGAATATAAAGAAAGATCTAATGATGTTACTGATGAAATAAAAGATCTTATGGTTAAAGAAGAAACACCACAAAATTTTGGTACATGTTTAATTGTACATTTTAATGTTTGAAGAGATGATGGATAAAAATTATCTAATGATGGGGTTATTCCAATACACTTGATAGACATTTCATGTAATTGAGTTAGTCGAGTAAGTGTTTGTGTAAATGTCGTTCCTTGTAATCTTAAATAAGTTAATGTTGTACAATCATAAATACCATCTACTTCACAATATTTACCACCAAATCGTTTTACTTTACAAAGACTAAAATTTTTAACTTTACCATTAGTCTTATTTAACACAAGTTTAGTTATTGTTGTTGGTAATAAAATATCACTTGAAAATGAGTACAAATGTAATCTTTTTAGATGGATTAATTGTGGGAATATTTGTTGGGATTTTAAAGAAAGAAGTCCTGTTGGTGGAATAAAATAACACTCAGCAGTAGAGTGTAAGGATATAACTGAACTACATTGTGAAAAGTCCATAACAAATTGGTTTGTGTTAGTTAAATCTCCATCAATAATGTTAATTTTAGAAGGATAGTATTGATTGATGAAGAATTGATCAACTTTGTTATTAACCAATACTCCAATACGTGAATCTCCAATATGTAATACAATAATTCTTGAATCTATCCCACTATACCAATAATTAAAACATACTGTAACACGATCAAATACTTTTGGTATTTGAATAACTTTAACTAAATATTCTTTGTTAAATAAATGAACAACTATTTTACCAAAGTTGTATTTATTTGAGTTCTGAAGAAAATCAAAATCTATCGTTGATAACATTGTAATATGAACAAAGTCGACTCTCTTTTGTTTATTTTTAAAAAAATCACTAACTTTACCTTGTTTTTGAAGGAATAATCTAACACACCTTAATTGTTTAAATTCACTTAAGTCAATTGGGTTATTTATACTACGAATAGTAAGTTCAACAACTTTATCTTTTATTATTTCAATAGCTTCTATTTCACTATCAGATGAAATTGGTTGAACTAAAATAATACGTTTAACTCCTTGAGGAATAGGAAAATGTGACTTTAACAATTTACGTGGGAGTTGTAATGTTTCGATGTTTGGAAATAAATTTAATTCCCTTTGAAATTCCTTCTCAAAATAAATGAAGTCTTTTGGTCCTATTAGTGGTTTAATTGAAAACAATGGATTTATTCTTAATATTTCTACAGCATCACAACATTTAGAATTAACCATCATTAATTTATAAACTGTTTCTAATGAGTCAACAAAGATAAGTACATTTGCTAAATAAACCTTCTCTAAATGGACCATTTAGTTTTATTTTTTAAGATCTTTTCTGAAAAGTTCAAAAAAAAAAAAACGAAAAATAATTATTTTAGTGGTTCAAAGATTATAAAAATTTATTAAGATTTGATAATATCTATAGTCATCTGTTGTTTTAAGAACAAAATATAATAATAAATTTTTTCTAGAAATTTTATTTTTTGTATTGTCAAAAATGAAAGTTTTGTTTAGTGTGTGTTAGTGCTTTATTTATTGGAGAGATGACACTGGGTTTAATTGATAAGTTAAAATTTTCATCAGTAAATATTGATATTTTTATAGTTTTTTATGATTCCATTTTTCGTTTTAAATCATCTCTTAATTTAGTTACTATTTGATGTTTTCTATTGAATTATGTTATTTAATTTAAATTTCAATAGATTTTTGGGATATGAATAAATAGTTCTTAGATCTTTTTAAAAGGAAAAAGAAAAGAATAATGAAAATTCTAAAAGAACGAACTTGAAATGATTAATGCTGGTTGTTCTTTTATTTATATCTCTTAGTTTAGCAACTACTTCATCAATTACTATTTCATTGTATCACATTGGAGAAGATTGGACCATTAAATATGTTTCAGATAACGAAGCAGTTGCAGTTGCAACATATGTAATAAGTAAAGAAGCAAAAGGATATAACGAACTGAGTGTTCATACAAATAAGAAATATAGTGATAAAGAACAAATGTTTGCTACTGGATTTGCTGATGGATTCTTTTCTGGAAATAATATTAATTTCCATAAAGAGAATATGAACGCATGGTATCTTGACCATTATTTAGGAAAGGCAAAAGATTATCCAAAATCATTATATAAATATTTACAAGATAATATCGATTATATTAATAATCAAATTAAGGCTAATCCTGAAGATCAATATTGGGTTTCTGTTGACTTAATTATGGAACAAGTTCGTGGTGTTACTGCTGGTCATAATTTTGCTGTTAAATCATCAGAAAGTATGACATTTTATGATATGTTCTTCTATGAATCATTCGGAGATCTTTTAGATCTTACAGCAGTACTTCCTAGTGATGATGAAGTTAATGGAATAGAACATCCAAAATGGTTTATTAAATATGCTAATAATGATATTGATTGGCATTTAAATTGGAAATTAAGAACTAAATGTTCTGGATTAATTAGATATGTTAAAGAAAATCATGATATTTATGTGTCACAAGTTGCATGGTTTATGTATGGTGCAATGAATCGAGTAATGAAACATTTTGATATTAACTTAAATAATGAATATTTATCAGCTAAGAAAGTATCTTTCTCATCATATCCTGGATTTGTTTTTTCATTTGATGATTTTTATATGACTTCTAATGACCTTGCTATTATTGAAACTACTTTCACTAATTTTAATACTACATTAAATCAATACATTCATTCAAATACACTTCTTGATTGGATTAGAATTGTTCTTGCAGTTAGAGCATCTAAAAATGGTAAAGAATTCCATGATATCTTTGAAAAACAAAATTCAGGAACATATAATAATCAATGGATTGTTGTTGATTATAAATTGTTTAATAGTGTTGAATCTGGTATTCCAGAAGGAACTTTAACTGTTAGTGAACAAATTCCTGGTTATGTATTCTTTAAAGACTTCTCTACTTCATTAGAATCTACTGGTTACTTTGGTTCATTTAACGTACCTGAAATTCAAGAAACTATTGAAATGAGTAATACTACTGCTAATGCTCAAGGTAATAAAGCATTCTGGAACTCTCCAACTGAATGTTGTAGAGCAAAAATCTTTGAAAAATATGCACCAAAAGTAATGAACATGAATGATATGAAAAAGATGATGAAATATAATGACTACAAAAATGAACCATTATCAAAAGACCCAACCACTGAACTTCAAGACCCAGGAGCTACTATTGCTGCACGTTATGATTTAAGACCAAGTGAATTAAAACCATTACCATTTGGTCAGATGGATGCTAAGATTTGCGATAAAAGTGGATTTGAAACTCTTCAATTCCATGTCCAAGCTGGACCAACTCATGACAAACAACCATATCTCGATTTAGAAGTTTATGAAAAACAAGGATGGTTTATTCCAGACAAAGGAGTTTTAAAAGTTTGGAATTTCGATTGGGAAGAATTTATTCCAAAATAACAAGAAAATCCAATTTTTTTTAAATAATTTTGTTTTCTTTTCTTATTGTTTGTTTATGTTCATTTCTTCTTATTCTTTATTTATGTATGTGGTTGTTGTACTTTTTTTGTTAAAACTCTT